ACCTGTACCAACTAATCCAGGACATAACATTGATTTATAATAATAATAGAGTAGAATAAAAAAGCCAATAGATTGCTCCATGTCAAAGGAAGAGGGTTCTTTGTTAAATAAATAGATAAAAATACAAAAATAACAAATGGAAGATCAACAAAGACGGTATTACACAATGTATCTGCCCTGAGGCAAGACAAACTTTGCTCAGATACATGGAAAAATAGTACAAGACTAGAAAGCTAAAGGAGTTGTTACAAAGAAAAAACAAAGAAACCAGATTTAATAAATAAATATACTTTTTTTTTTTTTTTACTTTCATAGGAACCATTGAATCAGTTGGATGAGGTCTAATGGTGAAAATATGGGCTGAACACACAGATAACTATAACATACAATAATCTATTCATTAATCGAGCATTGTAAATCCTCTATGAATCATCAAAAGCACTAATGACAAAAATAGTGGCTCTGTGTTCATGTTTTCCATTCCCAGGCTATTTAGCTCTAAAGAGATGCTCTGCACTCATCAGCTCCCCCATTGATTCCCAATAATCTCCCTTATATCATTTATGCACTGCTAAATGTTTACTTGTGTCAACAATTAAAGTAAACAGAGATATCTGGGAAATGGACAAATCGAATGCTATACAGATTAGTACTTACAATATAGGACACTGTCAATACCAGATTTAGTATGAAGGGAAGGGGCGGGGTCTGGAGGTATAAGGAGCAGTGTGATTGGTCTAGCAGGTATCCACACTTCAAACTCCGCCCCTGCAGTCAGGTGTTTGTAACCAGAAACGCCTGGACAGTCTTGTGTGATGTCACGTAGTACTTGAAATTGAAGTGACCTCCAGAAGTAGCACAGACTTTTGACTGTTTTTGACTAGAATGCTACAAATTTACCAAGTTTGCACTGAAATTACCAAAAGAAAGGACAAAGAACAGTAGACAATGCTATTAGAAAACATCAAAAACATTGATTTAGTGTTTAGTTCCACTTTAAGTCTTAGTTTGCTGGTACAGACACTTTACACATCTCTAAGGCTACGTTCAGACTGCAGCCTGAAGTGACCCAAATCTGATTTTTTTTTCCCCCTATGTGACCTGTATTTGATATTTTAATGACAGTCTGAACTACACAGATCCGATTTTTTCAAATGTGACCCAGGCCACTTGCATATGTGCTCCTAAAACCGATACATATCTTATCTTTTGACATGCGATTTCAGTCTGAATGAACAGGTCACATTCATCCCACCTACACATCAGAAATGTACACAAACATCCTTCTCGTCTTAAGAAAATTGTGTATGAACTCCGTGTCAGTGAAGCAGAGAAGCACATGTCAATCTCACCACTCTTGGCTGTATCGCTGCACCCTCACGCTCTTTTCTACAGACGTTGCTGCCACTGTACCACAAAGCACCATGGCCAAAAACCTTGTCCTTCCCCTTCTCAATCTCCTTAAAACAAATAAACTGTACATATTCTGTCTTCAGTATGACAGCAACTTTAAAATGGCCAGGCGCGCAATGCTAGTGTCCATGTTTAGGCTACTTCCGTAAACACTGAGCACGTTCTCTGCGTGTAACGTCATCGTGTCCTCCAATGCACATGCGGGACATTTTTTGGGCGTTTAAAGTTCACACTAGAGATCACATACAAGTCGCATCTAATTGGAAATGTGAACAACCTCGCAAAAAAATTGTATTTCGCAAAAAAATCTGAATTGAACATTAAGCGCTGCAATCTGAACGTAGCCTTATATAGTAAATTCTTGAAGCTTTACACCAATGAAGACGCAATTTGTGAAGAAAAGTTTAAAAATAGGTTGGAAATTACTGGAGAGATTTTAGAGAGTTTCATACCGATGTTATCACACTGAGAGAATACTATCCAGGAGTTTGGCACATTTTATACACAAGAAACAGTTTTTCTTCTGAGATTTGAAACATAATTTCAACAAAATAAAGGTGTTTTGTTGTATTTTTATTTGTCAAAAAATGATTACATTAAGAGGAGCTTTGGCACTAATAGAATTTCCTAGTGCGATCATGATTTCCAACCAGTAAGAAAATTACCAAACTGGGAAAACAATCAAGAGATATTTAGCAAAATCCTTAATATAATGAGCTTAAGTGTGTTTTAGTAAAATGAGCAGTTTAACCTGTCATAGGCACTTTAAATGACAACACAACATTGCGTTTTGATTCATATTTTAGTCCGTTTTAAGTAGTTGTATTTAACCCACTAATAAATGATTAACACAAGTGATGCAGACAGTAGATAAAACAGAATCTAACCCCACATCCGTACCATATTCCTCTCAGATTTCATTGGCTCCGCTCGCGTCGGCAGCTGCTTTCCTTCGAGCGGAAATGCTCAGTGATTTGGCATGGGCTAGGTGCAGCGGTGCATTATGGATCATTGCACAGTTTATCTGCAGGATCTTATGAGCTTGACATTCCCTATAAAAGGCAGATGGGAACAATGGAGGCGACGGTGTGGAGCACTGTCTAGCCACTGGACCATGGCCCATCCACTTAAAGATCTTTTTTTGATCTGCAGCTTCAGTATGTCCTTTAGGGAATGTCAGCCTATTAAAAGTACACACAGAAGAGAAGTGGCGTGGGGTGTGCTTTCTAACAACTCTTAAATGTGCTCTCTCTTTAATCGAGCCTGTAACTTAAACCCATTAATCCCTCACTTTGAATGCAAACAGAGGCCAATTTAAACACGGGCTCGCATAAATTAAATACCTAATGTCATATTAAAGAAGACTTCCTTTATGGTTTTTGGTGATTAACTACCACACTGCATTGTACGTCATTATCTTGTACTTTTTGTAAAACATTATGGTGTTCTAAAATGTTTAAAGGGCCCGTATTACTCTATTTTCTGATCTATGTTATAATGTTGTTTCCTCATCACAAACAGACCTGGTGTTGTGTTTTGTTTCACTGACACATTTAACACGCAAACCCTGAATATTTAGACTCAGTTCTTCTCTCAAATGGAAATCACGGTAATACAGGAAGTGCTCCACTGTGTTTTTAAACTCCACGCACCTTCACTAGAATCATTTGGACGACTTTAACCCTGGCATTTCCAATCTCTACTGAACAAAAGGTAAAAAGTGTGAACATGAAAACTACCACAACATGACATAAAGTGGAATAGTTGGGATGTTGCAATATCAAAACCTCTTGATACGATATTTTCACGCAGCTCACAGTTCGATATTTATTGTGATTGTGGAGACAAAACAAAATAAAATTGTGAATATGCCATTTTTCCTTTTAAAAAGCCTTTGAAAAGCCTTTGGTTCTGTTAAGTTTATTTGTAAAGCACAATTCATACACAAAGTAATTCAAAGTGCTTTACAGAATAAGAAAGACATTAAAATCACAAGGAAAGACATTAAAATCACCATAACTATTAATTTAAGCAATGAGACTTGTAACTCAATATGTCATGAGGGCCTCCGATAATATTGTGACTTTTGACGATACGATATGATATTTCTGTTATTGTTACATCCTTATGGAAAAGCATTTTGAGCTTTGGAAATGCAGACAGACAAATAATACAGGATTACTCAAATGTGTGAATGAAACAAACACAACTCAAGATCTGTTTTTGATGAGGTAACAACGTTGTAACATGGCTTAAAGCTCACAAGAGTCAAATTTGCTCAGATATAGGACCTTTAATAATAAAAACAGGTCTGTTTACTTGGCAGACTTCATTCTCTGCTTGTAGTGCTGCGTCTTCATGGTAGTCCTTTAATGGTTGTCTTTAATGGCTCTGTATAACATGTATGAAACTCTTTGCATACAACCGGTTGTACAGGACAGTGGGTAGGGAAAAGGGGGAAAATCAGGCATTGAGCACTCAAGCCTTGAATACTAGACAAAGCAGCATTACTCAAACATGCATGAATAACTGAGTAAATGAATGATAAAATACAAGCTAACAATACTGATGAGTGAAAACCATTATATTAACAGCTCATAAATGTCGATTTTCAGTCCAATCAAATCTAACTTTATTTGTATAGCACATTTTACAAGAACAAAGTCTCCAAAGTGCTGTACAGAGTAGGCACAATATAAATTAACACATCAAATAAAATAAAGCATAAAATAAATAAATAAGCAAGTAAATAAAAAACATGAAAATACTAAAATTAGCAAATATAAAAATAGCAAATAAAATCAATAAAAGACAGTCAGAGGACCACACAGTTCTCATGCTGTGTTAAAAGCCAAGGAGTAAAAGTGTGTTTTTACAAGAGGCTTAAAGAATCGACTGAAGGGGCGCTCTTAATGTGAGGAGGGAGTGTTCCAAAGTTTGGGGCCAACCACCTCTGGCTTTTGAGTTTTGCATGATATATCTCATTCAAAGTAACTATACAATTTGGATTTTCCCTTTTTTTTTTTTTTTTTTGGGGGGGCAAGCAAAATGTATGTACAATGTGTGTATAATGTGCTCCAAGTTTAAAAAAATAAAGTTCAGTACTGTGGACTGATTCACAAAGTTCATTCTTGGCATCTTCTCTACTCTTCTAATCATTAGTTGTACATGTCACATTTTATGGCTGTTTCAGAGCTTCTCAGATGCTTTGACATTTAACTTCTTATTGTAGAGAGATAAAATACCATTTTAACACTCATGATGGCCACATTAAGGGTCTGAGTTGTAGTTTCAGAGTGTTTTTTTTTTTTCAAACGTTAAGCCAACAGTATGTACAGTATTTTACATAAAGGCCTACACTATCAATACATATTTGCAGCTGCAGTCATTTCTCTAAATAAAAAAGTGTCCTCAAAGTTTCAATAGGTAGCGCTCTAGTTGGTGATGATGTTTCACCTTGTAATCTTGAAACTTTCCACTCACACAGTTGTTTGTTTCTTAAAAAATGACCAGTGGCATGTTTTAAGGATGACATAAACAGTATTTAACCTGACTGTGTGTGTGTGTGTGTGTTTGTGTGTGTACAGGCATCCTCTGTTCCCACTGCTGGCTCTGCTGTTTGAGAAATGTGAGCAGGCCACACAGGGCTCTGAGTGCATCACCTCAGCGAGCTTCGACGTCGACATCGAGAACTTTGTCCATCAGCAAGAGAGAGAACACAAACCGTTTTTCAGCGAAGACCCAGAACTAGACAATTTGGTAAGAAATCTGTCACAAATAAAAGTCAGAGAGTAACAGACAATACTGCAACTATTATGTCTACTACTCAGTTTCGTCATTACAATTGACCTCAAACTATTTATTTATCTATCTGTCTATCTATCTAATCTTGATTTATTGTTCTGTTCTGTTTATTCTTTAATTTATTTGATTTAACTTTTATTTTACTAGGACGTCCCATGAGTTAAAATATTTTTTTGAGACATTTTTAGACTCTTTTAAGTAGCGATTTAGATGAGTTCAGGTGAATCACTTCTGTAATAACAATAATTGCACTAATATCAGTGCTATTGTACAATAATTTTAAGTATTAGAGTGAGTTTTTTTCAATTTAGACACTCACACATTACAATATAATGACAAAGAGCAAAAAAATAAATGGTAATAATTAAGTAGTAAGTATTAACTTTTTTCAAATAATTTACTTTTCTTACCTTCATTTCAATACTTCTGCTACTATATCTGCAAATACTATTTAGTGTAATTCCTCCTGTTGTTGCTATGACTTCAACTACAGTAAATCTGGTTACAAAATTATGGAAGTATTGGCAAAAAAGTGACAAATGTGTGTGCATACTTGCTAAAAAAAAAAAAAGTATTTCTGCTGCATTTCCAAATTGAACAACCCAATGTTCTGAAATCCTTATCAGTCATCAATAACACATTTTCAAACATTTTTACAGTGTGTCCTGTGATTACTCCCTCAAATCATTCCCACCTTTTTGCTGTAATCCTCCTCGTGCCTTCACTCGCTGTAATTACACATTTTCGATAAAGGGGGATGCCGCTGATCAGGTCCCCGGTACAAGAGAGTGGGCGGGGAACAGATAAAAAAAAAGTGCACTCCTGACATTGGTAGTCTATAACAGTCTATTAACCCCGCATCTGGGGGTTTTATGGGGCGCTGGCTTTCAGAGTCTGTCCCAAAGGGCACAGAGCCTGGCACACTGGTCTAACTGTGGCCATGATGGGTGCTACACTTACTGGTCCCTTGATTAAGCCCACACTCTTTAATTAGCTGATTTATGTGTGCCTAGACCAAGCACTTTTCTGTCCATTATGTCGACCTTGGTGGACGACTTTGGGGGAACGGGCAGAGTAAAAAAGTGGGGGAATAACCAGATGCTAGGAGACTGTATTCAGATATCAAGGTTGAAATTCAAATTTACAAATTATTCACAAAAACAGCTGACATCTATTTCTATACTGTATATGTAAATTTACATACATTTCAAATAGGAAATGTACATTCTCTGGCTCCAGTTCACTTTGTATTAAAAAACGCATTGCCCTTCTCTCTGTAACTGTTGTCGGGCTCCTCATTTTGGTCTTTAAATGTTTGTATTAACCCGCTCTACATGATGCTGGTGTTTTTATTATGCTATTTTGTCCATAAATATATTCCTCTTCCTAATACTGCTCCAAATTCGCCGCATTACTGCCAGCCTCGGTGAGCTTCATTTGACTGGAGCCGAACACTACTTCTTTATACAGTATATGGTGGTTATAAACACACAAATAGGTCTTGTTCGCTGTGTAATAGAGGTCTGAGCGGGAAATGTAATTTTCCTTCCCACTCCCTATCTGCAATATTTTGTCTCGCTCGAACCCACAAATCCCGCAAGAGGTGGTCAATTACTTTCTTAAACTCTATCAAACTCAGAGAAGTGGAAAGGAATTACTAAAATGTACATGAGATTAGACCACGTTTACAAGTTTAGGCTGCTTCAAATGTTTTTATTAATGCCAAATAAAATATCTAGCACAAATTATGTATGATATACTTACATTAATCATTTGTATATTTTACTTTACACTCATATTTAGTTTGCGAGACTGCAGTTTATCATCCCACCCGCTCCCGCATTGTGCAGTCCCTCTCCGGCCCGCACCCGCAATGAGCTTTTAAAATGTGTCCCGGGCCACACTGTTTTGCATCGGGTACCGTGGATGCAGCGCTCTACTGTGTAACTTTTTATGTGCTAACCATAGACTGTATATCTAAATGGGCATAGGAAATACGAAGTTCGCATGCTGTCTATTCCGGCTCCTACTGACCCTGGCCTGGCTCCCGTTGACTTACATTGGAATATTGTCGCCCCCTCTCTCTGTAACTGCTACTGTGAGCCTCGTCATTTTGGTCTTAAAATGTGCGTATTAACCCACTCTACATGATCCTGTTTTTTTTCCCCCTATTTTTCATCAAATATCCCTATTCATAATATAGAGCCTGGTTTCAAATTCACTCCTGTAACCGTTTGCATCGCGAGCTTCATTTGAGTGGAGCTGAACGCTGTGGTTGACATCACACTCGCTTAGTCCACTTCTTTTATACAGTTTATGGTGCAACAGGTATTCCATAGCTTTCCTGGACTCGTGTTTTTTATTTTATATTTAAAGTGGCTGTATCCGATTTGTTCATGTAATAAAGTCAAATTGTAAAATGGTCTTGCCCCAGCACAGATATCAGATAATCAGCACTTATGGTAAAAATGAAACTGCTGTGTACTGTCTGCATCAAATTATACTAAGTGTTTTTTATCCTCTGTGAACTAGGAACTGACAGTGGTGTGATGTTAGCATGCCAATTAATTAGAAAGAAAGTTGTGAAAAAGCTCTTTTAAACTCATCTTGGTGAATAGTTTGGATGGTAAGAATGCAATAGGAACGTGAGGAATACATTTTCACAGCTCTTTCAGTTTAATTAGTCTGTTTTTATTATTTTGTGTTTTAAGATCATAAAAAAATCAGGTACGGAGCTTTAAAGTTAATGAGTTTATGCTATTTTTAAGCACGTTACTGCAAAGTTTAATGTAAGAAAATTTGTACAACTATTTAGTGATTAACTGATGCTCAGAAAAGACATATCATTTGTACTAACTACCTGTAAAGTCTATGCTAGTGTAGATAATTATCTGTTTGAGAAAACTGCTCTCGTGATTTTCCCCTGAATTATTTAGAATCAATGTCCAGTAATTGGTCTGACTAACACACCTGCGCCATGCGTGAAGAACGTTTATTGTCTTGTGCACATGAGACTAAACACGACGTTAGAATATATACATGTTAAGATTGCTTCTGAGATTATTATTAGTGCATCATTTTCTATTCATTTAGGCAGTGGTTGTATCATTTCCTTCTATTTTTTCCACCGCATTTGTTGTTCTTTTGTATATTATAACTATCTACAGTACTAGTAACTATCTACACATTTTACAGTTAGAGTATTACTTGAACTGAAAACACTCCATTCCACACACTTTCACTACAATCATTAGGATAATTTCTAGGGATGCACGAATACCGAATGCCGAATATTGAAAAAAAAAAGCCACATTCGGCTTCCGGTGGAGTAAGTTAAAAGTCAGGCCAAATAGTGGCATGTGAAGCAGTGACGCAATCAAACTATCGTATTTTCCGCACTATTAGGCGCTCTGGATTATAAGGCACACTGGCATAGAATGGTCTATTTTTGAACTTTTTTCACAAATAAACTGCACCGGACTTTAAACGAAACATAACAGTTGGATGGGTCAGTCGGACTTTGTTTGGCGTGTTCACGGTGACTCTCGGCTTTGTTCAGTTGCGGCGTGTAGGGAGGGTGCTGTCTGAGGGTGTTTTTCGCCGCACGGTCGCTGTCTGCTCCGTGCGTGTTTGCGTACACTGAGGTTGGTGCGGCTTTGTAGTTTACTGAAGTCGTGCTGGGACACCCGAGTGGATTCGTGTAGGGCGCTCTGGATTGCAGGGGGCACAGTTGTTTTTTGATGGGGTTGGAGGCTTAAGAGTGCGCCCAATAGCCGGGAAAATACAGTACATGCAGTGACGCGGTGATCTGGCACTTTCTTTAAAATATGAGCAATGTGGAAATATTTATTTAAGTGTCTGAGAGTGAGAAAAGAATGGCAATTTGCAAGGAATGTTACACCAAAATATCTAAAGAGGGTTCCTCTCCTTGTCTAAACATTTATTCTAGGCTATGTATGCAATATTTAAAAACAATAGTTAAAAACTTAACAATACCATTTGATATTCGGTTTTGGTATTCGGCAAAGTGTTTAATTTTTATTCGGTTTTGGCCGCAGATATTCATTTCGGTGCATCTTTAATGATTTCAGACAGACTGATAATAAAGGGTTACTCAAACATGTGTGAATGAAACACATGAAAAAGACAATTCCAGGTATGTTTTTGAAGATGTATCATTATAATATGGCTTAAAGCTGATACGTCTGATTTGCGTAATATATTATCTAATTTACACCTGACTGTCTCTTTGTATGTGTTTAGATGGTGAAGGCGATCCAGGTGCTGCGGATCCACCTGCTAGAGTTGGAGAAAGTGAATGAATTGTGTAAGGACTTCTGTAACCGCTACATCACCTGTCTCAAGACCAAGATGCACAGTGACAACCTACTCCGAAATGACCTGGGAGGACCCTACTCCCCTACACACACCAGCCTGGGCCTGCAGCAGGTCAGTCACTGCCTTTGGAACTCATGATACCATCTATGGGCATGTGGGTAACTTTCTTCTGTCAAACTGAAAACACTCTGTTCCACCTGCTGATGTCCTCCAGTGCTCTACTGTGTTTATAAACTCCATATACCTTCAGTTGTAGCTGTTAACTTGAAAACTACCAGTACATGACATCACAAGGTGTAACAGAGCATTTTTAGCTGAAGATGTGGACAAACTAATAATAAAGGCTCACTCAAGCTTGTGAATGAAACAAAACACAACTCTAGGTCTGTTTTTGAGCTCAACAGTATTTTGCAAAATATAGGATCTTTCAACTTAAATTAAATAGGCTATCTTTTCTATCAAAACAGCACAACTCAGGCACAGTCCCTTTTATAGTTTGTTTAAGTATGAGAAGGTTTAGACTGGGTCAGTGTGAGCCATGGCGATGTAGACAGCCTGATAATGCAGGATTCCTCAAAGATGTGTGAATGAAAGAAAACACAACTCTGGGTATGTTTTTGAGGAGGTAACAACATTGACAACATGACCTTTTCATGATGTAAACTGAATTTTCCATGACTTTACGGAACCCTACATGTGTAGAACTGATCAGACTTTTAGGGCTAAATATGAAATGTTAACACTTTCCACTTACCTTATGATTTGGTATTATAGTTTTTTTAACATTCAAAATACTGTCAGCGCATTTATTATCAACAGAACGCTGTGGTTGCGTGAACGAAATACTAAAATTCCATGACTTTTCAAGGCCTGGAAAAGGACATTTGCAATTTCCATGACTTTTCCAGGATTTCCATGACTGTGGGAATCCTGAACTTGGCTAAAGTCTTGCAAGAGTCAATTTTGTGTAATATAGGACCTTTAACTGTGCACACTTGCATATAAAGACACATATTCATGTATATAGATTCAAAGTATGGTGATGCAGTATCTTGCAATATATTTCCCTATCAGTATTTTGAGTCCTTGTAAAAACTCTCAGGGGCTATAGTATTTGTTCTAAATAAAAACAATTGACTAGAAACACAATTACACTATGACATCCTTAGTTCAGATTCTCACTAGTGTCTCTCTGTGATCCCCCAGGAACTAATTCAGACCTCCTCTCCACCCATGACCTCTGTCTCCAGCTCGGTTAACCCCGCGGGGATCGTGGTGCCGGCCGGCGGTCTGCAGCAGGGAGGCGTGTCCATGACGACCATCAACTCTCAAGTGGTGTCTGGTAAGAGCTGAATACTCACTGTATGCAAACAGCTTGGTTATAGATTAAAGGTGCTGTATGTCACTTTTCTGCTGGAGAGTTTGCCACCTGCTTGTCACAGTGGAGATGTTATCACTATGGCTGGAATGTTCAGAGTAAGTCATGGAAACAAGCAGGTGATGTTTGGTCAAATCTTTGGAAATGTGAGCCACTCATAGTAAAAATCCATGTATTTTTAGCTGTAAAATATTCTGTTATTAAAGTGTAATGCAATACAGGGGAACATTCTGGAGAAAAACATAACATATCATTCATAACATATCATGGAGACAAGCGAGTGACGGACTCTCTACCAGAAAAGTTACACAGTATAGCTTCAATATAATTGATTCTTTGCAGTGACATCGTGTTGGGGGTGTTCTACATGTTTCTTATGTTGGAATGTTTAGAATTTATCTCGGTGACACAATGCACTTAGTAAACAGTGCCAAGAAACATTTTTAAGTCTGAAAACTCAAAGAGAAAATACTAAATGGATTTAAACAACACATTTTCAGGAGCCTATGATCAATACGAGTGTTCATGGTCCTGTTTAGGAGTTTGATTTTCAACAAAAATGATGGGAGTGACTAACTGAAAAACTGTGAAAAGCTTGTGAGGCATGTTTAAGTCAGCTCATCTCACCTGTTGGCTAGATCGTGTTAAAACTAAGCTCAGATTAAAGTCTAACAAGCCTCAGAGATAGGGTGACCAGATGTCTCTATTTTCCCAGGACAGTCCCAGTTTTGAGCCCTGTGTCCCCTGTCCCAACAGATTTATCCAAAACCATTGATTTGTCCCAGTATTAAACAAGAAATGCCTCAGGTGTCCTTATTTTGATCTGATAGGCAAGGCACAATTTGTAAAAGTAATTCAAAATGCTTTACAGAATAAGAAATACCTTAATATCACAGTAAAAACAAATCAAAACATAAATAATTACCACAAAATTAAAAAGAGAGAGAGACATTAAATTAAAGAGAAGAATGTGGAATGAAAACCTGTCAGTCATATGCACAGTTTTGAGCCTGGATTTAAAGAATCAACAGTACCTGATCCCTGCCAGCAGTAAAGAGAGGCATAATTTGTAATTTCTTTAGGTAAAATACAGAAAAGCTGCTCAAAAATGACCAAAACATAAAGAAAATGTGACTGCACTGACTCACATGTTAGTCATGAATGGGTCGAGTGCATAATTATTTTCTTTAAGTACGCACTTGCTTCACCATTATATTATTCCCAGCCACCTCAAACTGATTGTGTCCCAGTTTTTGATTTTAAAAGAAAGAGAGACCAGTGCTTTGAGTTAGCATCACTCTCCCGGGGAATGTTGACGGCATCAAGTGCGAAGTATAAATAGCAAGTCAAAACAATTTAAAACCACACTGTAAAAGCCATGTGTATTCAGTTTCATCATTTGGTTTGACTGCTGGCTAACACAGTCTTCTCTCGCGCACTCATAACAAAGTCTGAGTGTAAAGTGTCGTGTTTCTGATTGTGATTTGCCTGATACTGTAGCTCCTGATGTTTTGTATGGATGTAAATACATGCTTAAGTATTCTTGACAGAGGGCTTGTTTGATAGACTCTCTTCTAATGTCAGGCCTGTACAGTCAAATGTTAATCCTGCCCTCTGGAAATCCCTTTTAACCCAAAATAAATCAATGTGCAAGCTTTGATCACTACACATCGAAGAGCTCAAACAGACTGCGATAAGAGTGTCTTGATCAAGGCTAATTAGCCCGCTAGCTAACACAAGCACATACACGCGCACACACACACACACATGCACACACATGCACACTGCCTTCTTCTTTCTCTTCCTCTGTTTCTCATTCGGGGAAATATCGCACCTTGAATTTAATCACTCCATCTCTGAGTTTTCATGTGTTTTGTCTTAATAAGGCGGTGTGTGCAGTATGTAGTATGCGCAGTAGTAGCGGGGCTTGATACTCATGACAGTAAATTATCCCCTCAGGTGGGACCCTGTACCAGCCGGTTGCCATGGTGACATCACAAGGGCAAGTGTTAACGCAGGGGCTGCCTCCAGGAACCATCCAGATCCAGAACTCGCAGGTAAAGCACTTCTGAACGGACGCTCGGGGTGGAGGATAAAAGTTAAAATTAATGTATCAGTATTTTTTTGCGTTCTCTTAAAGCAGATCATTAAGCAGAATCGACTTTTTAGAGCTTTTAAGCATGTTATAGATGTTTCCCCTTCTCATTTAGCCTCTTGAAGTTGCATTTGGAGTGATTCATGCATGTTTGAGCAATCTTCAATCGCTTATTTTTACGACGCCATGTTGCCGATCAACCCCCGTTGTCACCGCCACTGGCAGACGCCCACTGCTTTGTACTAACTTTGTTCTCCAATTTTATTTTTTTAATCTGTGATATGCATAGTTTTCGGCATCATTGTATAATCATTTTAATAGAAATGAAAAAGATCTGCTGCTTGCTTGTGTGATCTGCAGTTATCCATCGGAGGTGCCAACAACCTCATGACTCTTCACAACGTTTACAATTTTCTCATTTTAGACAACAGTATCCATCCATCTCATCTTCTTGTTATCATTTTAAATATATATCATACTGTTGCATACTTCAAATAATATTATATTCATGACAGATTTGGTCGATATAGCAATGTGAATAATCTTAAGAATTTGATTGAATCTTGAATTACATCGTAAACAATCTGTCTACCAAACACTCCCCACTCAGCGCCCCCTCCTCTACCCATACTTAAGATAATAATGTTCGCCGTTTTCATTGGCAACAAGCTGTGCAAATTAAGCCTTTCAAAATATATTACCAAATTTTTCATGTATTTTATTTAATCTTCACAAAACTGCCCCCACCTCGTGCCCACCCGCCCTACCCTGAAGCCCCCTGCCATCTCCATTTGTTATTGTTAAAAGGCTCTCCTTACATCTCCCCCCCCGGCCCCCCGGGTGCCTTTTCATTGTCTCAGCCTGAACACTGCCCCCCGCTGACTAACAAAATGGAAATTGTTTATCCCGGTGATGCTCGTGGCCCCTTTCATGAAGCTGCCAGGTTGTGCCACGATTCAACGCAGTGTGAGCGCGCAATTTAAGATATTTTTACACTAACAAACCATTTACATGATAAATCAGTGACAGCATTTACTCAAAGCATTTGAAATGTAACTTAAGCCTTTCAGATTACATCAATTAAAGTGCCTATGACAGGTTAGACATTTTACTAAAACACTGTTAACATCATTAGATCACAGATTTGCGCAAAAAGCTTCACGCTCATTTTCTCAATCTGGCAGTTTTTAGGTTTAAAATTTTACTTTCTGGTTGGAAATCAAGACATCACTCTGGGGAATTCTGTACCTGTTATGTAGCGAAACTCCTTTAATTTTCACAGAAATGATTATCTGATGAATACACGTATTTAAAAAACAGCTTTATTTTGTTGAAATCATGTTTAAAATATCAGAAAAAATGTGCTGAACTTTTGGATAGATTTCTCCCTACTGTGATTTCATCAATATGTTTGAACTCTCTACTTCCTTCAATTTTCAACATATTTTTCAACTTTTCTTCTCAAATCACTTCTTGATTTGTGTAAAAACATAATTTTAATTTACAACAGTTATAATCCCACCATATAAAGCTGCACTACTCAGTTTTTCAGCCACCTGCTTTTCTCCATGGAGATGTTATTGCTGTGCCTGAAATGTTCAAAGTACTCACACCCTGTCTATGGTAGCTCAGATCTGTGGAGAGGCGAGTCCACTCATAGGAGGGATGTATGTATTTTTAGCTATAAAAGATCCTGTTATTGAAGAAATGACAAAGATACAAATTAAGGCTGTGCAATTAATAGAATTTTGATCGCGATTTTAAATTTGTGTGTCAAACGATCTCCAAAGTTATATAATCGAGTTGAAACAATGTAAAGCTTAACAAGATTTATTTCGGGATATTTTTTATAGAGATCAGTATATTTATTTTATTTTTTAAAAGCTAGAGATTGTAGAACAGCTGGATATATAGTTTATTTTGGATACATTTATGTTTTTCTATGCCTTATTTCATGTTCAAAGTATGTTTTATTACCTCCGCCAAGGAGGTTATGTTTTTGCCAGCGTTTGTCTGTTTGTTTGTTTGTTTGTTTGTTTGTCTCTTAGCAACATAACTCAAAAAGTTATGGACCGATTTTGATGAAATTTTCAGGATTTGTTGGAAATGTGAAAAGGAAGAACTGATTTCATTTTGGGGGTGATCCGGAAGAAATCCTGGATTCTGGATCACTTTGAAATTTTAGTTAACATTGTGGTAAATTGGGCCAAAAATTTTGTTTCTCAATATCTCGGTTAATTATTGACCAAACCCCATGAAATTTGACTCAGGGATGGACAATGGGATCCTCTTTCATATTCCAAAGGCTGATCCGGATCTGATCCAGAAGACTGATTTTATCGTAATTTATATAAAAAATGGGGGTAGTCCTTGGCGGAGGTCTGCGCTCTCTGAGTGCTTTTCTAGTTCATTTTATGTTTTATACATCACAAAACTGCTCAAAGGTTCATATTTGTAGCCTATATTTATTTTCATTTTGAAAGTTTTGTGTAAATTATCAATAACAAAGTGTTTTTTTCTTTTTTTTTGAGAGAGAGAAATGCTGAATAAATGCATCGTGTAACTAAAAAAATTATCATTTGAATTTCAATATTGACCAAAATAATCGTGATAATGATTTTTTCCATAATCGAGCAGTCCTAATACAAATATATACAGACATACAAGTATAATGCCATATAGTGGAACATTCTGGGGACATTCATGGAGACAAGCATGTGGCAAACCCTCTACTAGAAAATGTTACACATCATACATTTAAAAGGTGCATTGTGTAACTTTTCTGATGGAGGATCCGCCAAATGCTTTTCTTCTGGGAGATGTTATTGCTTCATCTAAAATGTTTCACAGCATGATATTAAACCTTTCTATCTCCATGGAAACCAAACCAGACCAAGTTACAGGTCAGATCTGCGGAGAAGCGACCTCGTTCACAGTCAGAATGTCTGTTTTTTTAGGCATTTTTGAGCTATAAAACCACCTGTAATTGAATAAATGTAAAGTAGAGCTGTTTAATGTCACACTGAGGAACATTCTAATCTAGGCAGAGCAATGACATATCCATAGAAACAAGCAAGACAACAACAAACCATTTCGATGTAAATCATTGACAGCATTTACTCAAAGCGTTTCAGATGTGAATAGAGCACATTATAGGAGGAAATATTACGAGCACAAATGCTGTGTCCCTCTTAGAAAGCCTTTACAACGTTCAAATCCGCATCAAGACCCGGAATGGGATTTTTTATGACACAAGGACACATTTTTCCTTTAATATTTCTGTGATTCGGAACATTGTGGCGGTCTCAAAGGGCGTGTTTAGCAGTGGTACTCTAGTTGTTGGCTGTATCATTATGTTGAAGTGTTTGATTGTTGTGGAGATGGGTGACCCTGATGTTGCCGATACCACTGTTACTGAAGAATGTCGAAACCTTGGTCTGTCTCGTACTGTTCCTGCTATTCAATATTGCTCTGGAAACATCGACTAAAAGTAAAGCATTTAGTAAATTAGAGTCTTTGATAATAAGAAATACATTTAAAGGCTCTATATTACACAAAATTGATTCTTGTGAGCTTTTAGTCACATTATAATGTTGTTACCTCTTCAAAAACATACCTGGAATTGTTCTTGTTTCATTCACACATGTTTGAGTGACGCTTTATTAGGAATACTTGATTACGGAAAAATTTATTAGCACGATTATTTTGGTCAATACTGAAATTGCGATTATTCAAAGGATCATTTTTTAGTTACACGATGCATTTATTCAGCATTTCTCGGTCAAAAAAGCACTTTGTTATTGATAATTTACACAAAACTTTCAAACTGGAAATAAATATAGGCAACAAATACGTACTCTAGAGCAGTTTTGCGATGTATAAAACATAAAATGAATAAAATATACTTTGAGCATGAAATAAGGCATAGAAAAACATAAATATATCTGAAATAAACTACATATCCAGCTGTTCTACAATCTCTATATTTAAAATATATGATTATAGGAGTTTGAAGATCATCTGACACACAAATCGAAATCCTGATCAAAATTCAATTAATTGCACAGCCTTATGTTTTATTATTAGTCTGTCTATAGCTCCAAAGCGCAAACTGCTCTGTTCCACCTTGTGATGTCATGAAGCGGTAGTTTTAGTAGAGATCGGCAATTCCAGGGCTGAAATTATTCAAGGTGGAACAGGGTGTTTTCTGTTTCCGTTTTCAGATTTATTAGTAAATGAAGAGGAAAAATTTGGGAGGGAGGATCGGATGAGTAATTATAGGTGAGTTAAAAAGATTTTGCGTGAGATATTTTTGATACAACTTGATAAAAAACATACATAGTGGTAAATATTATGTATTAATGCTTTACAAGAAACTGAATAAAAAATAAAATACCCCGCTCCCTTCAGAGTACTACATCTGCTCTGAACTCTGGATATGATTAAATCTACAGACTTGGGGACAGTTTTTTAGCAGCAGCAGTGGGATCCGTTTAGAGACACAGACACAGACTCTCCTCAGTCAGGATCTGAGTGCGGCCGGGGCACCTCTCTACACAGGCGGTGGGAATTGGACGCAGCCCCAGCGCTACTTTACAGACAAGCCCCAAGTAATCGCGCTCCGGAGCTCCTGTGCCACCAATTAATTCAAGCCCCCTCCACGTGCACGCTCCCAGGCCTCACGTACACGCTCCCAAGCCTCACGTGCACGCTCCCAGGCAGGTCTCACGTGCACGCTCCCAGGCAGGTCTCACGTGCACGCTCCCCAGGCTGAATGGGACAAGAGAAAGAGAGAGAGAGAGAGGAGAGAGATAGGGGCCCCTCCACGTGACACCCAGCTGCGTCTGTAATGAATTCAGTTTTGTGTGAGCTGCACAGGGGGCAATGGGGGTTTCCCACTCGGTCTCACTGTGTATATAGGTGTGCGAGATATTGACAAAAAAGATTATCTCAACATATATA